CTTAGAAGGCTTGTCTGACAAGTGCGCCCCGTAAAACAACCTTGAACATTGTTAAAGGTCACTGTCTGCTTAAAGGTATGCTTGAGGGCGGCGTGTGTAGGGGGTTTTGTTTAGCGTACCCTGCTTCAGACGATTTAACTATTTCAAGCCGATAAAGTGTGACCTTATGGGCCTCAGCGGCAACTGTTCCTCGTTTTCGAACTTAGACACAAAAGGTTAACTCTCCTGATTTGACAGTTTATTTAAAGATTCAACAACTGCCCTGAAAAACACGTCCTAAGCAAAGTTATGTTTAAAAGACCAAAATGCGATCGCTGTAACAGGAAGTTTATTGGCCAGACGGTTTTTTGGTTCTCGTTCGAAGCCATCAGCAGCTGAGTAGCCGATTGCAATGACCACCCGGTCTGTGTTGAAACTTTGCCAGAATAATTAAACACATAGGGAAGATATGGGCAGCCAAGGGCTCCCCTGACAGCGAACCAACCTGTCGAGTAATCGTCACGCCAAAAATCGATAATTGTGACGAAATTTTCACAATTAATGACTCAGACGCGGACTAACCAGCAATCATCGCATCGTGTATGGCCTCCAACGATACACATGATATCTGCTTATCGGAGTAGGCGCGTATTGGCACGAAAACTGCGACCTATAAATACTGCACTTCTTGTGCCTTCATGAATCCTATCTGCGATTGTTTTTGATCATGCGTTCAAGCCAGATTCCGCGGTTTTAGGCCAATAAACTTCATGTTCTAACGATCACATTTTCTTCTTTTCCTGAACTGCTTCCTGGAACTCGCTTATTTGCTTCTATCAGCAAAGTGGCCTTTTAAAAAAAGTATTTTAGCATTTATGTCAGTTGTTATCTACTGCTCTTGGTCTTATGCTTATTCCAACTATCAAATTTCCATGGGTATTCTTACTTCTGCGAAATAATAAGGATTTCATGCAGTTGGTCGGCTTCGTCTGAAAACTCTGAATGTAATTATTTGTTGGATGGTCGTATCTCCGCTGTCCACATCCGGAAGCTGACATACTGTCATGTTTCTGGGCCGGGACACGCCGTCGACCATACCATGAATGAATGTAGACATATTTTTTTACATTTACAGACACCACTTTGTTTACAACATCACGGCTATCACGTGTCTGGTTTTCAAGTACTACGGAGTCCGTGGTTTTTACCCCCCTCCCCGACCGATTTGATATTTTCATGAAAGTGGATTCTAACTTTTCGGCCGCAAAGCCCTGTTACGAAACTTCGTTAAAGTCCTAAGTTTTGCAGTGAATAATTATGATTGGCATACCAAAATTTACATCAAAATAACGGTGGGGTTTACGGGGGCCAAGAAAAAAAAATGGGAGAGGTTGTTGTCTTTCACATCCAATAGAAGGAAAGAAGTTAGGCAGTAGGAAACAGTGGGGATTCATTCTATCACAATCGGGCATGTTGCAGTCACTGAACAGATTACGAACGATAAAGGAGAAGATATGTGGGGGCATTAGCTCTCGCGCTGGGCACGTTGCGTAAACGACCGATCTAAAAATTGGTTGTTGGGCTTCTGCGGCTAGCTGCACTTGCGGAGCTACTTGCGTTGACAATCAACGAAGTAATCCAATCATCTATCGACAAGGATCACAACGACGAGAGGGGGAGGGACGGTGACGATAGTGGTTATGTTGGAGATTATTTTATATGGCGCACCGGCCTGTGGCCTTGTTAAGGAAAATCTATACATCAATCCTTATCACAAGTCTGTTCGGCCTCTTAGAAAACAGGGTCTGATGACACCAAGTATTTTGTGGCCTATTAATATTAACTGAAAATAACTTTAGTCAGAGTTTAAAGACGCCACACCCCATCTGGTTGAGGAATCCTTGCTCAGCTACTTGCACAGTAAGATACCGAGTGCAGGAAGATTCTCGCCCTTAGGTCCATCAAAAGGTGGCACTTTGATCAGCTGGGGCCGGGCATCCTTCAAAAGTCTTGAGGCGTCAACGCCAGGCCTCCCTGTCTTCTCCAGTTTTCTTTCAAACACCTCTGTCATTTTCGAATTGACATTGTATTGACCGACCCTCACGACAGTCATGCTTAACGCCCGTAGGCTGAAAGCTTTCTTCTGTCGCTGATATCGTCATCTCCCCATAGGAGCCGCAACTAATTTTGTCTAAGATGTAAGAATTTTTCCGATACTTCAAGTAGAACATTGGGTCTTGTGGTCGCCCGTGGCAGAAGACAAAAGGATAGAGTAATAGTTACCTGTGCTTCTCCATCGTAACTCATACCTGCTTCTTATGCCCGCACTTGTGCGATGTTCACTCCTACTTTAATCTTGACCGGAAGTGCGCATGTGGGCGCCATTTGGGTACTATTCTCCTTTTCGCCCAACGTAACTGGTTAGGGGTGGGAAATACGTCTGGCGGTGATGAAAGCTACGTATGCTGTCCTTGCTCAAACCACACCCTTACCACTCCGAGTACAGACAGGCGTAACGATGTGTTTGTTTAAAGATATATATCGTAACCGACAAAGCAACGAGCCCAGGATGCAATGGTTAAGTGTTAAACTCAACGAACAGAGGTCCCGGGTTATAATCTCGGGGGTCCGACCCTTGAGATAGGTTATGATTGGCTGATGATGGCTAACAAGCCAGAAATGGCCATTCCGGTCTCCCTTGTCTTTGTCGGTTCCACTCCAACCTATATATATATATAATGATTGATTGATTGATTGATATTGATTGATATGCCTAAGGATTCGGGGTCCATATATGTTATCGCGTTCATCTTCCCCCATGAACGTGATGAACGCGGGCGAGATCGCGAGTTCAAATCTCGGTGTGGCAGCAATTTCCCCGGCCATTCTGGGGTTGGGTATCACTAGCCGATGAC